TTTTTAGGTTTGCTTTGTGAATATCATGAGGTTGAATACTGTCTTTTTTGTAGTGTTGAATAATACATTAGGGACTTCAAAATATTTGACTTTAGCATTAGAGTGGAACAATGAAAGTTATCGTTTGGCAGACCAAGAGATAAAGTTGTCCTCAAGATATACACAATACTTAAATGTAGGTTGTTTATTATATTTGTTAAATATAAAAGATATTTATATATTATAATACGCCCTTGTAACCAAAATTGGAGGTTGTTGAATGTTGAAACTAAGTTGAAAATCATCAAAGAATTTTCGTTGAAGGCCCTTAGTGAAGAGGTATCTTGAAGAGACATGTAACACACGAATTTAGTCATAAGTAACTTTATCGCGCACAAAATGAATATTCATCTCAATGTACTTAATGCATTTATGTTTAGTGGGATTACCGGAGAGATATGTGACGTTTACATTATCATAATAGACTAACACGGCCTTTGAAATAAAGCAATTTATTTTCAAAAGAAGATTCCTTAGCCAATAATGAATCAGATACTACGACTCCATGATATTCGGCTTCAGCGCAGGAATGGGATAATGTATGTTTTTGTTTGGCAGACCAAGAGATAAGGTTGTCCCCGAGACATACACAGTACTTAGATGTGGACATTCTGATGTCTAAACATCCACTCTAACTCGCATCAGTATATATGATGAGCTTATCAATGAAGGAATGATATAAATGTAGACACATGGGCGGATCCATGTTTAGGCTAGGTGTGGCTATAGCCACACCAGATTTTTTTTCTTTCTAATATTAATATATATTTAATTAATTAATTTTAATATTTAATATTATATAACTCTTCAACTCACTTTTATCTCTTAATTTTCTCTCTCTTTTATTTCTTTCTCTCTCACACAGTAAACCCTTTCTCTTCTTCTCAAACCCCACCAACTTCCATATTTGTCTCTTTCTCTCGTTAATCCAATAACCCCACCATTTTGCATTGTTTATGGATGATTGAAAATCAAAGGTAAACTAACTACTTCAAAATTTTCTTATTCTTTTGTTCTATTTGAGTTGAACCCTAAAACCCCAATTTGTTTTAAAAAAGTAAATTTTTAATTTCTCATAAATATTTTCTTTACAATAAATTGTTCTTATTATTTTCTTTATAAAGTGAATAGCTAATTTTAATGGTTTCATTGTTCTCTTTATAGGATGAAGAAATTTTTTCCTGTGCTTTCTAGAGACAAAGCTACTTCTTCGGTAAATCTAGAAGCATCGGAAACTCAACATCCAAGTGAGAGTATTAAAGTTGTCGATTATGAATTGTTGGAAACCGATCCAGGAATTAGGCCTCCAATTTCAAGCTATCATCCTGACATCCAAAATGAGGTAAGGAAAGCTTATTTAAAAATAGGTCGTCATAAACCTCCTTACAATTTTATTTACCCTTGGTCTGTTCAAGGTAATCAAAGACGTAGATTTTGCAAAAATTGGTTTGATTTGTATGATTGGATTGATTATAGTGAATCTAAGGACCTGACATTTTGCTTGCCATGTTTTTTGTTTAAGAATGTCTCTAAATACGGAGGAGATCACTTTGTGACAGAGGAGTTTGGTGATTGGAAGAATTCTCACAGATTGGCTAATCATGGAACTTCTTCCAATAGTCATATTGATTGTGTGCATATGAGTTACGCTCTCATGAATCCAAACCAAAGTATTAAGGCTGCATTTGTTAATCAAACTAAACAAATGAATTCTGAATATCGTGTTCGTGTAAACACATCTCTTATAGCTACTAAGTTTATTTTGAGGTGTGGCATGCCATTTAAAGGGAGTGATGAGTCCTTTAACTCTTTATTTAAGGGGCCATTTCTTGAGTTGGTGGACACTCTAAAAGAAATTAACCCAGAGATAGCTAAGGTAATAAATTGTGCTCCAGGAAATAACTTTATGACTGCCCCTAAGATTCAAAAGGATCTTGCTGCTGCTTGTGCATGTGAAATAACTAAACAAATTGTATGTGATATTGCGGATGATGTGTTTTGTGTTTTGATTGATGAATCCGGTGACGTTGCTGGTAAAGAACAAATGACTGTTGTTATTCGCTATGTTAATAGTGATGGTTTGGTAAAAGAAAGGTTTCTTGAGATTATTAGTGTTAAAGAAACAAGTGCTAAGTCACTTAAGGAGGCACTTGAGAAGTTGTTGTCTATTAATGGCTTGAGTTTATCTAGCATAAGGGGGCAAGGATATGATGGAGCTAGCAATATGCGAGGTAAGTTTGGTGGTTTGAGAACTTTAATTCAAAATGAAAATCCATCAGCTTATTATGTGCATTGTTTTGCCCATCAACTTCAATTAGCACTTGTTGCATGTGCTAAGACTCACAAAGATGTTAGTGGTTTTTTCGGTAAGGTCAATATGCTTGTTAATTTCATACGGTCTTCTAACAAGAGACAAGAATTGCTTCGGGACAAACAAGTATCTCAATTTGCTAAATTGATTGAAGAGGGTGAGATAGAGACTGGTAGTGGATTAAATCAAGAATCGTCTATTGCTAGAGCGGGTGACACTCGTTGGGGTTCCCACTTTAGGACTCTCACTAGTTTGATGACTTTATATGGTGCCATTATTGAGGTACTTGAAGAAGTCGGGAAAGATACGTCATTTGAAAAATATGGTGAAACTATGCTTTTGCTAGATATGCTTCAGTCCTTTGATTTTATTTTCATGTTATACATGATGGTTGAGATTTTAGGATTTACAAATGATTTAAGTGTAGTGCTACAAAAGTGTGATCAAGATCTTTTGATTGCTTTATCACTTGTCAAAGCCACCAAACAGGAATTACAAGAAATGAGAAATGATGGATGGGAAGTACTTATATCTAAAGTTATGGAAATTTGCAATAAGCATGATATTGATGTGCCTGATTTGGATGCAGCGTACGTGCAAGGGAAGAAACCTAGACGACATGCTATCACTTCTAGTGTTTCTAATTTGCATCATTATAAGCATGATTGTTTATGTAGTGTTTTAGATTTGCAGTTGCATGAGCTCAATGCTAGGTTTGATGGAGAGAATACTGAACTTTTACAATGTGTTTCATGTTTGAGTCCCTCATCATCATTTGAATCTTTTGATGTGAAAAAATTATTGAGGATGGTTGAACTTTATCCAAATGATTTTGTAGATGTGCCGGAAGTGGCGGTACGACATCAGCTTCAGAATTATGTTAGAAATGTTCGATGTGATCCAAAATTTGCAAATTTAAACGGACTTTCAGATCTTTGTGCAAAACTTGTGGAAACAAAAAAATGCAACACTTTTGATATAGTTTATAAGCTTCTAAAGTTGGCTTTAGTCTTGCCAGTAGCAACTGCGAGCGTGGAACGTGTTTTTTCAGCTATGAAGTTTGTGAAGAGTCAGCTATGTAACAAAATGGGTGATCAATGGTTAAATGATCGTCTTGTAACTTTTATAGAAAGAGATGTTCTTGGAACAATTAACAATGATGTTATTTTAGCTCATTTTCAAGAAATTGATACTAGACGGTTTTCATTGTAAATACACTTCATCAAACAATATTATTTTTTATTTTCAATATATTTTAGTCGATAATTTCTTTTATGTTTAGCCACACCAATATATAAAGTCTGGATCCGCCCCTGTGTAGACATAAACCAAAAGTGTTTTAAATATTTTGAATGATGCACTTCAAGACAGATATATGTTAAGTTTTACGAGCATACATAAACAAACACACTTGTTGTACGACGTAAGTGATATTAGGTCTTTAAGGATTTTATCGATATTTTTCTTTTTCTTTTGTAATAAATCAATTTTAGTGACGACTCCGTTATATTTCTTACATTCGTTATACTCGAGTATTTTTCGTGCCACCACACGTTGCAAAGAATCTGAACAGTTTAAGAAAGGAACAAAAACATTGAATTCTTATATCAAGATAGCAAATACAAGATCAGTTTGACATAAAGCGGAACAGAAGCTAACCAAACCACTAAATTAAAAGAAAAAATGAAAAACATACCCAATGTTATAAATGTAAAGACTTTAAATTTAGTTCAAGTTTACAAGTTGTTAATTAGGTTATTTGTTACACAAGTAATTAATTAAGTGAGTTAGTTTGTTGGACCTACTTAATGGCTGAAAATGCAATTAATATTATATGAATAATCATCTTGTGATCATAAATGCAAAAACAATAGATGAATGAACAAAAGTAAAATTCAATCATTCACACAACTAATTTTGATTTCTCTCTTTCTCTTTATAGATATTGTATTTGAGAAAAAAGTTTAAGATTTTTATTAATAAAATAGTTGAAATACATAGAAATTAGTGTTGGAGTAATTAATATTAAATATTAATTAATATATTAAATAATATTTGTTAAAAAAATAATAATATAATTAAAAACTATTTAAGTGAGATTTTACTTAAAATTTAACGTTAAATGTGATATTCTGTTTTAATGTTGATATTTTGTTTTAATATATTAAGGATATGTGTGAGCTTAGGCCCCTCTATGGTAAAAGAAAAAAAAATATGTGTGGGTTAACATAGTTTTAACATAGAGCTTTTGAAGTCCGCTTAAATCTTAATCGTGGGAGAAGAGAAGATAAAAATGATAATTACTTGTATTTGTTTAGGTGTACAGTACACGCAACGTTAACTAATAATATCTAGTGAGAAATGAAAACAATCTTTGGCGGCTGAAAACCATTCATACAATACGTGGTTATGTTTTTTCTTCTCGACCATAATAACTAGTGGTTCTCTTTCACTCATTCTTCTCCAAATTTATTACTTATAATTTTGCCTCATTTTTTCCAATCCCTTTGCTTCTTTCTTACCCTCAAACAGGTATGAATATGATCACTCTCCTCCGTGAGCTTTTATTTCTCTGAATTAACTAACATGTTTTCATTTATTTATTGATTATTTTGAAGGAAGCAATATCATAATATATCATGGTTCAACCATGTTAACAGTTTATGCTTCCAGAGCTATTCTAAACTGCCATTTATACCAAGACTCAGCTACCACGCAACAAGCATACAAAATCAATAATGTTAATTTTGTAAATTTCAATCCTACTTCTCCTAAACCAAATGGAAGTTACCGTACCAACATATTCCATAGTTCATCTTTCGCTTGGATATGTGAAAAGCAACACAAGAGCGTTCATTATATATCCCATCATAAGTGGCTGGTAAATAATAAAGCATACCTCAATTCTTTATCTACTTTGGCTTAGTTAATTTACTTTTGGTAATTGATATATTGCAGCAGTGTGGGTTACATGATTCAATTTCATCCAATGATGATGACTACCGTTCTTCCCGCAACATAGCCATCACCTTGTTTAAGCGTTACAGGAATTTTGCTGATCGCGGGGGAGGTGACAATCTTAAAGTATTTCCACTGCCTCAATTAAGAAGATGTTTACATTCCATTGTAAATTTCTTCTTAAGGACGTGTCTAATTGGAAATTTTGTTTTTTATTTTCATTTTCAGGAGTTCATCACTGCTGGGGTGAATGCATATGAACTTGGGTGCACTGATGAAGGATTAAGGAAAGAGCTTACTGACATGAAGAACTCTGGCATTGAGATTGAAGCAATGCAGAGATATGGTGGAAACACAAGCTTGAAATCTAAAATTATCTCCGACGAGGTCAGTATCTGTAGTTCATCGGTCATTTATAGAGCTGGATTTGAGTTGCCATTATTTACAATATTTTTATGTGCTGCAGATTGACGAATGCATTCTGTGGTTAAGCATTATATTTATCACAATCTTGTGTACACCCCAGCTAACTATTGTTAGATGGTCCTCAACACCTTCAGTGTCAGATGAAGTGAGAATTCAGTGGAAAGGATTTTGTGCTCTTATAGCAAATGCGTATTTTATGAAGGGAATGGCTTGGTAAGAAGAATGAATTTAGGTCTCTTAATTGTTGCACAAATGAATATAATCTTAATAGTTGCTACTTGCTAAATGTGATTAACTCTTAGTATTACTGTGTTTTTTATTGAAGGCTACCTGTAAAGACTCTTCAATTAGAGCAGACGGCAGTGATGGATGAAGCTGAGAAACCATCAGTTGTTGCTAGCCGAATGCAATTAGTCTTTAGCACACTTGAGGTCAGTATCTTACAATAAATCTGCAAAATTTTACTAGCATAAGAACTACCAACGTCACTGATACCAAACATGAAATGATAAATTTGAATTCACTATTGCAGGTAGTGAGTCCACAGTGGCCAAAAGTGTAGACAATGAGACGAAGATAAACTTTTCCCAACAGTTTCGTGTGGAAATACATGAAAGCAAAGAAAAAACTAAATAGTTATCATGTACTAGTTTTTTTTTTCTACTTTTGGTAATAAAAAGAAAGAAACCATGTATTTTTTATTTGTTATATTAGTGACTTACAGTATAAAATAAAGGGGAAAACAATTATCAGTTTTTCTCCATAGAAAATTATTGAGTCCATGCATGCAACAAAATGAACTGATTCATTTTATCTTCAAAATTCATCAGCCTAACATATTTGTTCGCCATCATTTTTCCTTCTGCAACTAATAAGGCCTACAAATGCAACATGACACAATCAAGTTCATAAAACTCTTCTTAATCCAGTGGCTCCAGTGTATAAGAATATATTACAATACATTTAACAAACTTATCATTACATATACCCAAAGTCAGTATCTAAAATAAAAGGTTTGGTGAGAGAGAGGAAGCTCTATTCTCACTATGAAAAGAACAAATTCCTGAAAATTAACATGGTCAAAATTGAGCTCCATAGCCATGGTTTTAACTTAAAAATTATCACAAATCTAGAGTGGCTGTAAATTCACTAGCATCTTTAAGTGTTTTCATTGCACTCCAATAGACAGCGGTAGCTTTTTGTGATGTTCCCACCTGCATGATAAAAACCCAAAAAATTAAAGGTTATACATGCATTATATGATTTGGGATGACATATTATCCATTATGCACAAAGATACATAAGAAATCCAACAAATGATTGAAAACTAAATAGTAAGACCAATTAAATATATTTAGACAGTTTTGGTACATTGGTCTCCATGCGATAGTAATCTTGCCACAAGCCAACATTTTGGTCATAAGTTGCAAGTGCAGATTCATATAATTTCCTGGCATTTGCGAGACTATCTTTATCTCCTTTTGAAGCAAGGTCTGTTTCCAGCTCAATACACTTCCTATATAATGCAAGGCCGGGATGTGGTAAAGCTAGAAATCTGCAATGAGAAATAGTTGAGTTATGATGGATACAAGATAGAAAAACTCCCATACAGCATATTATGGCAAATAACACCCAGCACTGATTCTACTTGCACAGAACATACCTTTTATAGATATCTCTGGCCTTGTGAATTCCATCTTTTTGAAGTATGAAACCTACAATGGTAGAGGAAAGGGAAAATCCACTTTCACTACCACCATCTCTGGCCAAAGGACGAAAAGAAATCTCCACCAGTTTATCAAAGTATCGTCTTTTACTTGCGTAGAATTTAAGGGCCTGTACTGAGTTACAGTTAGAAAGATGAACAAATTTCGGAACTTTCAAACTTTTAACTCTAAACTTGATTACAAGAGAAATATAAATCCAAATCCAAACCCAACTTCAAAATAAAATTAGAGAACAATACATTTGTAGTATCAGAGATAATTATTTTAAAATAATCAATGCACATTTAATTTCCAACTGGGAAAGCACCCTATGTGAAAAAACAAGCCAGATAATTATATCCATGACTTTGCTAAAAAATCCAACGATCAAGGAATAAGAGACAGCCCAGTGCTTTAAAGCTCCCACTATGGCTTAGTCAGGTGAGGGTCAAACCCATTACAGATCTATTATAAACAATCATGCATTGCAAGAGGTTGATTATTGACACTATGTTCAATTTATAAAATATTTGTTTTTTTAATTCCTTTCACGAGTACATTTTATAAAAGACATAGCACCGCACTTTAAGGAACAAAAATAAGGTAAGTGTTGACATCATACCTTTAGCCACAAGTTCTCTGATTTTGAAACAGGGACTTTGGTCAAAATTTCTCTAAGGAGTTCAAAAAGGTATAACAAATCAGTATCACTGGGCAACAAAGAACTTCGTGTGATGCCTGAAATTTCTATAGCTATCCTTAATTCCCATAATTGCACTGATTCTGCAAGTTTTCCACTGCAAAGCTTTATTACCAGTTTCCTGGCCTCAACTAATTTTCTCAATTGCAAATGTAAGGAGACATACTTGCAAGCAAGATCTTCAGTAATGATTCTCATGCTTTCAGCCCTTTCATATACTGAGAGGAGATGTGGTAAAAAGTTTTCAGCATGACCCGATAACCCGGTTATATCGATTTCTTCATCTTTAGGAGCTACAATATCCGTTAGAAAACTTGCATACAAACTAAACATAGTTCCACAAGGCATACTCATCAAAGCCTCCTCATAAACCTACAACAGAACAGAACCCACAGTTTTGTTGGTCAATATAAGCACAAAGGAACAAAAAAAAAACATTGAAAGATTTTGTAGCACCCTATATCTAACTATGAAACATGGACACAGCGATATTGCTTATTTAACAAATATTAAACATGAACATATTTTTTACAAAAGATCTTTTACACTTAAACATTGGAAAAATGGGATTACCATAACAAACTACACTAACATAACATGGTGAATTTTCCTAGTTTTATACTAAAAACATTCATGAATCCCATCCACCATATAAACATAAACCATAAGATAATGAGCCCAACGGGTTCAGTAATTTCTACATATTCATACCTGAATTGCTTTTTCCACAAGAGGAATTTTAATTTCTTGTCCATTCTCAAGCACAGCTTCAAGATTGCATTCTCGCCTTGCAAGCCAGTCCCAAAATCCCGGTTCAGTCGAAAAATCCCTCTTCATGTCATATAGTACCTCTTTGCACATATCTTCATGACGCGACAAGTTTGTTCCCTCCAATATTTCAAAAAATCTCTTCCTAAGATTAAGACTCGAAGGGACAGCTTCAATCGCTCCACCATAGACAGTTCGAAAAATGTCCATACCATGGTCAGCAAATAGTTCCTGATTCGTCTGTGATTCATCCGGTTCAACATTTTCTCCATTGTTATCCTCTGGTACAACATTTTCTCCATCATTATCCTCTTTTTCATCAAGGGTCATAAACAACTCTTTGTTTTCATCTTTCCATTGTTTATCATCCTCAGTTCTAGGATCACGAGTTAGTGTTCCCTTATCTTCACCCAAGGCAACCTTCCTGGCCTTCAACTTGTTAAGGTACGTGAGTTCCATCCGAAGATACTCCACCCAAAGGTCTTCTGATGTTGGACAAAATCTAAGACCTTCCTGCATTAAAGCACGAGCAGCCACCACATTCGAGTTATGATCAAACTCCCAAGCTGCAGCATATATCCAAACTCCTGCAACCTTTGGGTGCAACCTAACAAGTTTTGCAAGTGCCTACAAATTTTCAAAAGCAAAATGTTCAAAAAATATATTCAAGTAAATAATAAAAATCCTAATAACAGTGCAAATGCAGCGCAAACATGTATGAAGGTGAATTAGCTTCTCTGTATGTTACAAATTAAACTAAACTTGGCCCCCTATCAATAATCTTAAACCTTATGGCCAGCCCATAAGCCTTTTCATCTTATTTCCATAAGCTTTCCATGATAGTTTATTAAAAAAAAAAACTAGCTATATGAGATCAGTTTAATTTTATTCTATCTTTAGTTGTAGAAATAGCTAAAACAAAAACACTTGCATGATAAGCCCCTATACTATAACCACTTTCATTTGGCTTTTTGAAGAGCCAAAGGCAATTCTAGAGGTGTAGAATTGATTTTGGAGTGATTTTGCGGTGTGTAGCTCTTCTAAAGTAGAATTGATTCTGCCTCAAGAATTGATTCTACTTGAAATTAGAGTTTGTAGCTTCTAAGTTAAAACGTGATTTTCACATTGAAATTGAATGTTCAAATTCACTTTAAAGTAAATTTATCCAAACACAAATCACTTTACCTTCAACTCACTCAATTTTACATAATCAATTCATTCAAAATCAATTCATTGAAAATCAACTCATTCAAAATCAGTTATTTTCACTGCAAAACCAAACACACCTAAACCATCTATTGCATTCTCGATATAGCTAGGGTTTCTATGTGGCATTGTTTCACAAATAAAAATAAAGAAACGAGGCTACCTTCTTCATTCTGCCATTTTTCCTGAGCCTACAAAACTCAAGATAACGAAACCAAAGATCAATATCACCCTTATACCGCTTCAAGGCAAGTTCATAGATATCGATAATCCGAATCAATCCAGCCAAATCGGACTTCGATTTTCTCAAATTCTTGTTTCCCTGTTTCTTTAACTCGCGCGTCACCGATTTCTTGCGGAGAGTGCGGAGAGCATCAAGCTGTGTCTCATACTCGATGTACGCCACGAAATCTTCCTTCAGGGGAGAAGGTCGTTTTAGCCTGTACTCGAATTTCCGCCGCTGTTTGACGATCTCGGCGATTTCTTGGCGGGTGAATAGGCCGCGTTGCTCGAGATCTTCGAGCTCGTCGACCATGCGCTCCAACTTGTATTGCACTATGTCAGCCATGAGTGGCGGTTACGATTACGGCCACCGTTCACGGAGGCTGCGACGAGTAATCTGTTTAGGTTTAGTTTGTGATAGAGGTTGGTTGAGGGGAAGTTTTTTTGTTGATGGTTTAAGAAGGGTTTTTCATTTAGTTGGGCCTGTCATGTTATTAAGGCTCAGAAAATTATTATTCACGTACTCTATAATTTTGACAATTACCCCCGCATTTTGAAAATAATTCCTTTTATTTTTGTTTTTCACCACCAGTTTAATTTGGTTCGGAAATTATTTCTGACATCAATTAAGTCCAACCTCCTTCCAATCGCTTTGATATATAAGAGTTTTATTAAAACATGTAAAGTAAAAAAGAAATTAGAAAAAAATTCTAACCTTTATTGAATAAAATTTTATAGGGCACCTTTTGAGGAATTAACATCTCACTCGTATTTATACATGTCATCATCTATTATATATGCTTTTATCATTATGTCATGGTGAATAATCACTAAATTTTAAAAAAAATGAGTTTTACAGAAAATTTGGGGGAGTATTGGAAATTTCGAGGAAATTTCGAAAAAAAATTTAAAATTTTTAATATAATATCAGAAATTTCATGATTTCCGAAAGAAAAAAATTGTTTTTTTTTCAAAAAAAAAATCAAAAATTTCGCAAAAAATCAAATTTTTATGAAATTTTCAAAAAATTAATGTTTTTTTTCAAAAAAATCAGGTAGTTTATTTCAAAAAATATATATTTTGATATCGTAAATAAATTTTAAATACACTGAAATTTTCGGTATTGAAATTTTTTTTTTCAAAAAAATTTATCAGAAATTTCGTTCTTTGCCACTCCTAAATTGTTCGTAGGCATTTTTGAAATTAAAAGAAAAAAGAGGAAATGTCATGTATAATTTAGGGGATGAGATGTTAATTCCTCGTACCTTTTAGTTTTTTTGGGCTATTGTATCTTTTAGATCATAGGAATATAAAATGGTTGATTTCCTTATGTTAATATCTATTTTTATTTTTGCTATTTGAACAATTTTCAGTAATAGTTAATTTTCTTAATTTCTTCTGACTTATGAAAGTTCTCTTGTTTTGGTCTTTCATTAAATTCAATCTCAAAAAAAAAGTTTAAGGGAAGACAATTTATTCATGTTATCAAAACACCATGAACAATGCGGAAGAGAGAGATAGAGAAAATAGTGGAGGGAATAAAAGTATTGTTGATTATTGAATAAGAGAGTTTGGGAGAGAGTTATTATAAAACTACACAAGTACTTACTATATATATACATGGGATAATTAACTACACACTCACTATGTAACTAACTAACTAAGTTTGAATTAATACACAACACACTCCATTAATTCAAACTTTCACCAAGTGATACACATCACAAACTGATACTTTAGAGTTGTTTTCATACTTTGCATTTTAGACTCCAACAATGCTTCAGAAGCTGCTTCAGAGTATATCAACTCTTCAGAAGCTGCTTCACCAGAGCATGTTCCATTCTCTAAAGCCTCCAGAGGGTGATGGGCCAAAAGCTATCAACGCTTCAGAGGCTAGTGGTCCTGAAGCAATTCCAACCTCTGAATCAAATTCCACCATTCCCATTTTTATCTCCAGCTTAGAGAATTATTCTCCTTTTACAACTTTAGTCCAGATACCAGTAATTTGGTCTTTGGTAGGACAATATCCCATTGCCAACCTACCTTTGTTCACTTGTTCCGTTATATAATGAAACCCTGTTTCAATATATTTGGACATTCTATGAGAGACGAGATTTTTTGCTAGGTTTATTGCAGATTTGTTGTCAATAAGAGGCTTGATTGGTACTTGAATGCTTACTTCAAGTTCAATTAGAATAGATTCAATCCAAGCAGCTGGACAATTAGCAATATATTCTGCCTCACAGCTAGACAGAGCCACCACAGGCTGCTTCTTGGAGATCCAAGAGATTGGAGCTCCTTGAAACTTGAAAACATAACATGTGGTACTTGTCTTGTCCAATATGTCACCAAACTAGTCTGAATCAGAAAATCATATCACATCTTCCTTACTTCCCTTTCTTCCATATGAAATGAATACATCATGCCTCAGTGTTCCCTTGATATATCTTAGTAATCTTTTCCATCCAGCAAATGAAACTTCCTTAGATCATGCATGAATTTTCTCAATACTCCAACATCAAAATTGATATCTAGTCGACTATTACATAGGCACCTCAATGATTCAATGATCTACTTGTACAGGATAGCATCTAACTTTTCTTCGTCGTCAATTTCTTCTAGCTTTTGACATGATTCAACAGGAGTCACAACAACATTGTAATCCATCATGTTGAATCTTTTCAGCAAGTCAGTAGCATACTTTGCTTGATGCAAGATTATTTCATCTTCTTTGTATGGAAACTTCATACCAATGAAGTAGGACAGGTTATCTAGGTCTTCCGTCTCAAATTTTAACTTCATTGTAATCTTGAGCTCTTCAATTTGCAGTTGAGATTCTCCATTTCTCAAGAGATCATCCATATATAAACATACCAGCAATAGTATTTCATCTTGCTTGTATTTTGCATACATGCCATACTCAACTGAACACCTTTTAAAGCCATTACTGAGGAAGAAAGTATCAATTCTCCTGTTCCAGGCTCTTTGTGCCTACTTCAAACCATACAAAGCCTTGTATAGTATATACACCATGTGATCGGTGGATCTGGAACTGACTGTTTAACGCTGGTTCGCGAAATGTCGCGGAAGCAAGAGTCGCCACCGTCTTTTATTTTCTCCAAATGGAAAGGACAAAAGCACAGAAAAATTCCTTAAAGAGATTGCTCTCGGTTCGGGAGGTAGGTTATAGAAAGGGAAGGTGTTAGCACCCTTTCTATCCATGGTTATCCATGGGCTCTTAGATACTTGCTCAGTGTGTTTTCAAAAATGTTTGCTTGCTTTTCAATGTGGGTTAACAAAGTTTCTTTGAAAAATTTCAGTTCGACTCGTACGTCAGAGTGTTTGAAAAATTTGCTTTGAAAGCTTTTGAAAAGTGTTGGTGTAAAAAGTCTTTGAATTTTTGTTTTGAAGAGAGCAAGTATCCATGAGTCGTCTACCTACCCTAAGGAATTCGTCTATGTAAATGTCCTTTAAAGTAGTGCCATCCCACCATTGAGAGGTAGGTAGCACCACCGTTGGAGGTGTTCGGGTCAATTCGATGGTTCGGGACATGGTGATCACCAGAGCAATAGGAAGACACCTTAGAAGCTACCCTCATGCCAGGTTCCCGGATCATGAGGACTTACTAAGACATCCTCTACTCGACGATCACCTTTCGAAGGCAACAGTGAGGCATACCCTAGGGGTGGTGTGTGCGATTCGTGTGTCGTTTTCATTGATATTTGTCTTTTGTCATGTTATGGGTGATCTACGCTTGGTTTTATTTTAAGTCCATACATTCTTTCATGCTTATTTAACAGTTAAAAGTTGCGGGAAAATAAATCTACAACTATTACAAATGGCGCGGGTCCACATCGCCAAAATTAAACCGGACCCGATTTGACGGAAAGTAAATAAAGGAGAAGAAATAAAAGTGCGAGAAGTTTAAGTTACAACGCTTTGGGAGAGATACATAATTATTTAAGCAGAATAGAATAAATATGCGCGATTAAATAAATTACGAACGAGGGCGTTGGACCCTTTTGCAAAATTAAAATTAATAAGGAATTAAAATTAAAATTAAATGTTTTTTGGTATTTTTTGTGTTTTTTAGATTTAATAGAAAAAGAATTATTTAGAATTAAAATGAGATGTAAACCCTAATTCTAATGGTTTTTAGATTTATTATGAAAATATTAAATTGAAACTTAAATTAAATCTAATTTTTATGCACAATTTAATTATGAAAATAAACAAATAATAATATTATGATAAAAAGGAAAAATTAAAGGGAATGAAAATTGTCAATTAAACCTAAGTTCTATATTTTTTATATTTTTATTATGAAAAGAATTAAAGTTGCAACCTAAATTAATACTAAATTAATTTACATGTTAATTTATTGATGAAAATAATTAAATTAAATATTTATTATATTTGACACTTTTTCTGATTTTTTGTGATATTTTTATATATATAATAAAAATAATTTATTAAATTAAAACAATAAAATAAATAAAATAAGAATTGAAAACAAAATAAATAAAAAGGAAATTGCAAACCAGGAGGGGGTAGAAGTCCCAATTTGGAGGTGTTGGCCTTAGAATTCTGGCCCATTTGCCTTTGAAATTCGCTGACTTTTCCAAGCATTTTATGGCACATTGACTAGGGTTGAGGGTGTTCTTGAGATCCCTGCCCTTGATTTGATCTGCCAGGCACGTGGAGGGATAGATAATGAGGGAACATGGTAGTTCTTAAGATTGTGCCTGCATAGGAATCTGGATGGAAAAATAATATGGCAAATATACAGACCTGGGGTTCGAACCCAGGTCTTTGGATGCTGAAGCGTTAAGCGTTTGCCAACTGAGCTACGTGGACATTCAAGTATATTATGACCAATAAATAACAAAAAGAAAAAACAAAAGCATTAGTGATTCAGCGCGCGAAATTTAAACGCACGAATCACAGGTTGCCACGCTTCATCGTCTCCACCACCCCTGTAAAACAAAACACAATAGCAACGGTTTTCAACGCGTTGCAGAAGGCAGGCTATTGGAAAATAGCGAATAGGGCTATGACGTCCATAAATTGATCGCGAATGGTGCTTCTTGTTCGTTGGAGCATGCTGATTGCAATGGTGGTGGTCTGGGGTCCTGATTTTTCCTAATTTGAGAAACCCCAATTTCAAGCTTCTGTAAACCCTAAATTTCACTCATGGCATCATCGTGTATGGCAAATAAAAATACAATTAAAGGTGCTGGTTAGCTTTAAAACATCACAAGGAACAAGAATATATAATTAAAATGCAATGAGGATGTCTAAAACTGAAAACACGATCATCACTTTTTTGCTGTACATGGAGGGTTC